TTTCGATTTTAATTGAGTGACGTCATAATATCACGTGATTTCAGCACTAAAGCTACTCTTCTGACATTGCTATCACTGAAAACCATAAAGTAGAGGGTGCAAGCTTTCCAAAAATGTATGATAGCATTTGTCCCCCTGACTGTTACCGAAGACCTTATTTTTGGGGGCCTGGCCCATGGACTATTTCATTTGATTGGAATAATATTATTGTGAAGTATGAACTTTGAGTTAGAAATGTGYTTTTTCCTTTTCCAGCCAGAAAACATAAAAGCACAACATTCTGTTTAGTCTCAGATCTCCCATTTCAGATCTTTTGAAATGGGTGTACATCRTATTGCAACCATGCTCATGTGTGTTTCATATGTTGATTAATTATTTCAGTGGCTCAAATGGTCATCCACCTGTTGCCCCCTCGTACAATGTCCCCAACAACAATGATGAACAGAAAGAAGACATTGATGTTACGAGTGAAGAAAAGAAGAAAGAGATGACGATATTGCTGGAAAGCCTCCAATTGGATGGTAATAAATATTTATTATTACTTGTTGCTGCATGCATCCCTTACATGAGTCGAATAAAGGGACAAAAAACCTGGCTGTTATTTTGGTTGTCATGGACAAGCTGTGATGACAACAAAGTGTGCTTGTGCCTATGATTTAAACGCTTTTTAAAAATTATGTTTTGTTTTTACTTTCGGCTGCTGGCTGTTTGYGTTTGGTAAATTACCAGTTTTTGTTTATATTCAGTTGAACAAGACTTAAGGAACTTCTTAAAAGATGCATATCATCAAGCAGTTACAAGCGTAAGTAAAAGAAACACACCTGGTTAAAGAAGATTTTGCAATGATTACGAAAAATTTGACATTATTGATGTGATGCTATGTTTTTTTTCCAGATGGACAGTTTGACCAGATTTATTGACAAATGTATAGCAGTGATTGACTTTTACCTGAGAAAAAATGTGACTGTCAAAGAAGAGGTGAGATGTTTGTTGATCAATGAAGAAAGTAGGTACTGTAGTTTTCACAGGCTGCCCATTGGTAGATTAACCAATAATGTTGAAGTTATTGAAGACATGGTTGTATTCCTCAATGAATATTGCTTGTTTTCAGCTGACTATACAAGGTGTGCTAGCAGACTGTCTTCTGCTCAGTAACCTTACGATAAGGGACAAGTATGACGGACTAAAGACATTTGATTGCAAGCAAAACAAACTAACAGAGTAAGTTTTTAAGCATTCTAACACGGAAGGCAAAAGAAAAAAAAATTGTGAATGTAGTGGACTGCTTCTGAGAAAGGGCAGTAATCTTGCCAGGGGGCAAAACAAAACAAAGATGTCGGAAAATACATAGTTTCATGTGTTTGTATTTTTTATATGGGTAAAGGTGATCAATGTGCCATCTTAATTCATCTTTTATTGTATTCTCTTTTGGTGAGCTGTTAATATCAATMGAGGTTTTGCACCATCATGTGACGGCAGCCATGTTAGATGGCAGGGATGATACAATAGTTTTACATATTAAAAAAGAATTCAATTCCTAAGAGCAAAGGAATTTTATTGTTCTGCCATCTAACCACAGGCAGCCCAAGCTGCATTATGGGCACATGCACGAGATGATGCAAAACCTGTATTGACCTCATTATCACAACAATCATCATAATGCCTTGCAATCCAACTTGGCCTCCATTTCACCAAAGTTAAGTCCATTGTGTTACATAAATCACACAGAGTAATCAATGATTGCTCATTCTCCCAGTCCAGAGGCTTTTAATCTTATTCTCTATACAATTCTGACAGGTATCAGCTGCAAGTGTTGTTAAGACTAGAGATGATATGTGCAGGAGGTGAAAGTACTTCCGTGATAGATGAGGTACATGTAAATCAAATTAGACTTTCAATTACGTGGGGAAAATATGGCATTATTTGTTTATCAATATGTTTAAGCTTGTTCTAATATTTTCATACTGTAATCAACTGAATTCTCTTAAAAGTTAAGTAGACAGTAATAAAACCAAATAAAACCAAGGGGGAGGACAGAAAGAGGATCTACTTTATTCTCTTACATTATTTTTGAATTTGGAAGGTTCCTATTAACAACCTTTCAAAGCTTCCCCTCTCTTTGCCCATTGGGGATGAATCTAAAATGCCTTTTTCTAAGAATACATGTACTGTAGTTTGATTTAACTAATAAGCAATATTATTACTATCGTCTAGGTTGTTGTTATGTTGAGGTCCATCTCATTCATCAAGGATCCTGGATTTCTGAGGGATTTTCTCAAAGAAGTCATACTGACGAGGTATAAATCTTTAGGTTAACATAAGCCACTTGTTATATTTGTGGAATAAACTCAGTAAAGTGTATCTAGAAAGTGTTTTGTACAATAGACCATTCTAACTTGGGTGTGACGTTTTTTAATTTCAGACCATACGTTATTCTCTTTTTTTTCCAGTGGTATCCATATTCATGTGTTTTCTCATGTACAACTATTAAACAAAGAAATGGGACTCTAGAGAATAACATGTGGTCTGATATGGAAAAACATTTATGCCGAAGCTAAGGAGGTCTATCCCCATCAGAGACTCATTCAATTGAGATTAAACTCAAACTTATCACTTCACCCCTTCTTGAGTGCACGTAAAGCACTGCATAACCTGATTCATGTATTCTTGTCTTTGCCAGGTATGTCCAACGCATTCCAAAGTTTCTCTGTGAGATCTATGAAGGATTAATGCAAGACCTCCCAGCAGAACTGCGGTCTCCTTCCAAAAACAGTGAAGAAGAGGAATCTCCTCTGAAGAGAGGTCAAGTTGCATCAGTGGTGCGACCAGAGTCAGATCAACCCCGGTTAGTTCCTGAAACTGTAGTTTAAACTTCATGTCTTGTCATCTCCTTGTCATGTCATCTTGTTGTTGAAGGACAAGATAGGACAACACATGACCTTTTTCAGCATGTGCTTCGATTGGAATTGGAATTTTTGGAAATGATTTTGCTACTTTTATTGCCATAGTTGTTGTYGTTGGTGCTACTCTTGTTGTGAATATGATGTCATGGCCTTGTTTCCTGCTTGTTTTTTTGGGGAGGGGGAGGGGGGTGGGGATAAGGGAGTTGCCTTGGGTACAGACCACTGAGATACTATGTAAGAGATATCTTCACTTCTTCATGATGTCTATACTCCTTTTCCCATTCCAGCAGCGAGGTAAGTCGTCCTCTCACTYGTCATCGCAGCATTGCAGACATGGGAGGGAAAAGACGAGAAATAGTTATTCCTGGTAAAGCAAAAACAAAGACCAAAACAGGAAAAARGAAGAACGACAAAACAAGCTGTTCATCTTCAAAGGAAAAAAGGTAATGTACAAATCTGTGTGTATTTTAACTTATGGCAACAGTTGGGGAAAAAGAAGGAAGGTTTAAGGATAACAGCCATCCAGACTTGTGTCTGGCAAGAATTGGAGCTTATCTGGCCAAATCTTTGCATAAGTGGTAATTTTGACCAGTAATATTAATTCCATAAAAGAGGTAAAGTATGACTGATCTAATTTGAAACTAATCTGGCCAGTTGTCATGACTGGTAACTGACTATGCATTTTTTTTTTTGCCCTTGTCAGGGGAATCAAAATGCTTAGTGTCATCTTTGACAAATGGTAGCTTGGAATGTTAATTATTCTACCACCATGAAAGTATTTGGAACTTCCTGAGAAATTCATGAACATATTATGTTTCTCTATTAGTGATCGAGGTAAATCCCAGAAAACTCCGGTCAAGAAGGTGCGCAGAAACCTGTTTACTGAAGGAGACGAAACACCAGGAATGACTGGTATCTCAATGAGCAAGAGTAAATTGAAAGTGCCTTCAATATTTGGTAAAGAAGATAAGTCTGGTCAACATAGAAACAAAGAAAGCAGACGACATTYGGTAGCTCACTCTAAGATGGTGAAAGAAACTCCTGGGAGAAGGCAAATTCATAATGCTTTGTGGCAAAAACAGCACAGAGCAAGGTTAGTAGACTGTTGAAATTTATTCATTCATTTGTCAATCCACTTGTCCTTCCTTCTGTCCATCCATTTTCCCATTTTAATCTATTCTTCGTTTCCATTTTCCCATCAATTAATCTTTTCTTCGTGCACCCCTCTCGTCCTCCCTCCTACCACTTGTTTGTCCATTCATCCCATCCCACCAGGACCCCACTTTCCATTCTTTTACCACCTACCTCTCTCCCAAAACCTGCCCATGCATCCATCTGTCCATATTTTATTCTCCCATCCTGTCCTTCTGTCCATCTATTTTCCCATCTATTAATCTATTGTCCATGTATCCCTCTCTGCCTCCCTCCTACCACTTGTTTATCCATTCATCCCATCCCATCCCATCCTAACCCACTATCCATCCATTCACCACCTACTTTCCACAACCTGCCATTTATCCGTTCATCCATCCACCCATTTATTCTCCCATCCCCCACCTACTTCTCCATGTACCTCTCTAGCTCCCTCCTAGCTCCCTCCTCCAACATGCATTTTATCCAGAAGGATAATCAATAATATTTTGTTCTCTTCAGAAAACGTACAAGTACAGCAACTGACCTGAACATTGTTAAAGAATCTCCTCTCAAAGAAATCTTAGAAGGTATATTTTCTATTAYAAAATTCATGATGATCATGATGGCGATGACTGCACGACAATGATAATAATTAGCAATTAGTCCTCGAGCACAAGTCCGCCGAATGAGCTATTGACTCATAGGTCATGAAGGTGAGAGGACTAATTGTTTTAGTCAAATCTGTGACTAGTGGGTCAAATATGTAGATGCAAACAAGTCTTAAATTAAAGTTAAATTCATTTTTTTGGCTTTCAAAGCTGGCACTTTTTGCTACCTAGTAGGCTATAACTTATAGCTTACTAGTAGCTCATGCAATCAGAATGCAGCATTGATGATAGACTAATAGTCTTTATTTGCACACGGTGGTGATGATCATAATTAAGAAATAATGCTGGTGATGATTATGATTGTGGTGGTGAAGGTGATGACAACGACGACAATGATAATAGAACCATGAACTACTCTGCCTTTCAATATTGCTGTTCCTTCCCATTTAAAATATATCCATAACAGGATATCTGTAACATCAAGCAAAACCAACCAACCAACCAACCAAACAAACAAACTGGGCAATTCATCAAAATAGTAGACATAATATATGAAAACAGACAATAGCATTGACCCAAGAAAGAGTAGTATTGATATAAATTTTTCTTTTCTTTCATAGCTGAATCTCTTCCTCGTCGCAGCCCTCGGCGACACCCTGGATCAATCTTCCAGCGAAGTCAGTCATTTTATGGCGCCAATCCAAAGTCGTGTCCTCTTGTAAGAACATGGAGCTCTTCATCAATACGCAATGAATCTCCTATTAAAAAACTTGAACTTGATGAAAACACCGATGCCAGTAACTTAGCAACGGATGCCATGGAAACCATTACAACGCCTGTTAAGGATACACAGGATTATGATACAGTCAAGGAGTCACCGCTGCGGTTTYCTCCTCGAAGAAGGAAACGCTTCACCTTGCACACTTTGTTGGCAGAGACGACAACTAAAACAGAGCGAGACTCTTCAAGCAATTCTAAATCTTTGACACCGAAATCCAAAGTAGAGGTTCCAGTGCGGTCTTCTCCAAGACTGTTAAAGAAGCGATCCTTCTCTTGTATTGGATTTTCTAATTCTTTATCTAGTTATTCCAAGAGTGGGAATAGTTCAGACGGTAACAGAATTAGTACACCAAGCAAGGACAAGGTTCTTACCCCGACAAGATCGTCTCCGCGATTCAAGAAAAGCGCCAGCGATTCGTCAGGAATGACTAGAAATCGAATTAGTTTGTCTTCACCTCGCACTGACCAAAATCGCTGGAATCCAGAGAAAAGGAAAAGACTTCAAACGCCACCTCGTTCTGGGCTTTATGACTTCAAACCCGTCGAATCTTTCGGTGATTCGAGTAAAAGGACAAGAACGGAGTCTACAGACCGTTTGATGCATTCTAACAAGTTAACAAAAAATTCAGAGAACGAGGGTGATTCTGAAGACAGCGAAGTTGTCCTAAACTTAAATAAACAGCCACTTTTACTTGATCAATTTGAAGTAAATGAAGTGCGCAGTCCAGATAAATCGGAGAACCAAAGTTCAGCTCGCGAGTACGGCGTTCGTGATGCTCATGATGTGAACTCCATTAGAAAACGGCATTGTCGTGAGACTTCTCCTGGTGTAGAACTAAGAGAGGATATGGAGAATAAATCTCCAACGAACATGGTTAATTCAAGTATCAAAGATGATACTTCCAATGACAAGAACAATAGGATATTACGCTCTAGTCACAGGAGAGCATCCTTTGAGCAGCAATGGGAAGCAATCACCTTATCGCCTCCTTCTAAAAATAAAATATTTGACTGTAATTCGGAGTGCAATGGTGGCAGAAGCGAACGTGACGTTTTAAGCCGAAAACGACTGTCTTTCAGTCCCTCGAAGAAAATGGAAACAAGTCACGGTGCATCCGAGAATCAGCCAAGTGCGTCCGTAGACGAATGTTTCATTAATGAGGACAAAAATGAGACCAAACCCAGGAGTGATGAAGCAACAATGACCAAGGAAAGTGATGATGATCGTGGAGAAAATACTAGATCAGACGACGTGGAAAACTCACTAGACAATACCTTGAAGGTTGCTACTCCTGTACGCAGGTCCCCACGAAAACACTTCGATAAAAACAGCCCCGTTTGTGGATCTCAAAAATTGCTGAGACCAAAACCAGTAGTATCAACCCCACCAGCTAAAAAACGAAGAAAAACGCGCAGTCAAACCGAACAGGAGACCAAAAGGTCAAGCCCTTTGAATCAAATACTAAAACAGCGTAAGAGAAACAGACCTGGGAGCCTTAAGTCACCGAAGAATAAGGCGCATTCCGAGGCGGGCGTAGATACTGCTACTCACAAAGGACCAATGCATGTTATTTCAGTAGGGCAAGCCGACAGCTTTGCGGAGTTGGCTATGGAACTCTTAGATGAATGCTCCAAGTCTTCAGAGGACATGGTATACGATTGGTTCAAACACATCGATAAACAAGAAAATCCAGTTGAGCCCACATCAATGATTGGTGTCCCTGAAATCAATAATGTACAAAGAAGTTTAGGAGTAGCAGACTTTGGTTTTGAGGATGATGATGTTTTTCAAAATCCCCCGAAATCCTTACGTTCCGGGAAAACGCCCTACAAGCCTGCCACGCCCATATCTGCCAAGAGTATTAAGATGCTGCGCGAGTCTCCTCTTTTGGTGAATTCTTCATCGATTTCTGTTCCACCAGGATCTTTTGCGAAAAAATGGTCCGACTCGTCGCCGTCCGGAAGAGAACGGCTTAAGCGTCGGAAACGTTCGGAAGCATTCGGGGGAAATTCGTCAGAACTCGATACGAGCATGAGCGATGATGGGGAGAATGTTATCAAACGAAATCAAGAGAAGAACTCGACTCGATCAAGAAAGAAGTTAAAACTGAACACAGACTAAATTTTTTATGAAATAAATTTTCGTATTGGCGAAGCAAATTGTAAGATGTAAGATGAATTATCACARGCAAATGATAGTGTTAATATTTGAGATGTTCACAAAGACATGCATATTCGTTTTTCACAAGTTTTCAAAATTTAAAGTTATTTGTAAATAAGATTTATCCAACTTGAGTTTGTAGCCGACTTTTTGTAGAATGAACAAATCATTAATTCATTTATCAGAGTGTGTAGCAGTGTTTTCTTATGGTTGGTATGAATATGGCTCTGTCTTGTGAACCAAAGAAAAGCTGTTAGTAAGTCGACCGAACGGTTACAATGAGATGCGGGGGAAGTGCGCTATTTGAAGACACTCACGCAGAGTGTAGAGAAAGAGTAAGACAAAGGGCGCGTTAGCTATGGTCCAAGCTTTTCTAACAATTATACGAAAGTGTAAAGTGCACTTTTTAAGATAAGGATGCGCTTTTTGAGAAAACTATTTATTTATTAGTATTTATACTACCAATATAATCTTTGAGCATTCTAATAATACACTGGGGAGGTGATGTACTATATAATTACCTTTGTTTCATAACTACTAAGATATAAATTTTCCAGTATACGAAATATTATAATATTATAATATAGTATAATAAAACAGGTCGTGATGAGAAAACTATTCAAAATGATGAAATAGATATTCGACACTATTCGGCCCTGATATACTTCATGCAATATTCCTCGTATAAGCAACCTTTGCTTTTCCAATTTGTCTTTTTGGGGGTTTTTCTGTCTCGGTAATTGTGTAGGGCGCGGCTATTTTTTGCATTTACACCTATTTCGAAACGATAGTCGGAGCCAAAGGAGATGAACCATATAGGCCGCGATATGAAATTATTCTAAGGCCTCGATAATTCGTGTTCAGAACTATGCCCATAGTTCCTTTCGGACTTTGAATGGCTTATCGTCTATCTACTTTGGCTCCAACGGCCTGTGAATATTAGCAAAGGGAGAGCGGTCGCATTGCGAGGAAATTGAACGTATTAGAGTTTATGTATTTAAAAAAAATTAAAGCATATTCAATTATATTCTTTTGCATGTAATAATAATACTAAGCAAATTTGATTTAACGAAAAGTAAAAGTCACTTTTATAATGATCCCTCTTTTCAAAGTTCAGAGGAAGACTGGTAGCGACGTTGTAGTGCATGGCATTCTGGGCCTGAATTCATAACACATCAAAAAGCCGTCGGTCTTCTTATGAACTTCAAAATGGCGAATATTAATTAGAAGCACGCGAACGCTCTGATTTGTAATGATAAGGTCATTTTGTATTTATCGTACCTTATAAAAGCTACAGTGCCTATGCGTGGAAGAGACTAAGTTGTGAACCGCACCCAAGTCCCGCTAAAAGGGACTTAGGACATGATTCAGTTGATAAGATACGTACCATTAAAAATATCTTTGCATGCATCGTGTTACAATACTACCTATTTGTTTTATATACAGAACCTTTTAAGGTTTTGTTTCGCTACTGTCACAGTAGTCTGTAATGGACTTCAAGGGCTTGTGCTTCCATTCTCAATCTTTCTTTTTCTATAAAATACAGAGTCACATGTATTTTAAGTTGGGGCGTATAATCTTAAATACCCATATATATTATGTAATTAGTACAATCCCAGACGTCTGGGTTTTTGACTGACGTGAAATCATCAACAGTCTGAGTCAGTGAAGCCAAAATCGTAAACGTTTTTGCTGTGTTGTAATTATAAAGTGGGTCTGTAATAAACTTAGACATTAATTGCGAATCCAATACACTAACCAATAATATAATAATAATGGTGATGATG